TCATCATCATCATCACCATCATCATCATCATCACCATCACCATCATCATCATCATCATCATCATCATCATCATCATCATCATCACCATCATCATCATCATCATCACCATCATCATCATCATCACCATCATCACCATCATCATCATCATCATCATCATCATCACCATCATCATCATCATCATCATCACCATCATCATCATCACCATCATCACCATCATCACCATCATCATCACCATCATCACCATCATCACCGTCATCATCGTCATCATCAATTATTAATTATTATTATTTTGCTCTTTGCAGCCCCCCCCCATCTCCGCCAGGGTCGTGGTCTCTGTGACCTTTGGTTGAAATCTGGAATCAATCTCTCAGGGCACAAATGGCGGACTTAAGACGCACGCACACACACAGAGACAGACAGACCGACAGAGACAGAGACAGACAGACAGAGACAGAGACAGACAGACAGAGAAATAAGAGACCACAAGTGAGCAAAAGAATGAGAGACGAGGGAAATAGAGACAAAAGGGAGAAAAATAGAGATGGGAGAGAGCAGGAGACAGAGAGAAATAGAAATAGACAGTAAAAGGAAGTAAGAGAGAAAGAAAACACTGAGAAAGAGAGAGAAAAGAGAGACGGGGAGACAAAAAGACGGGAGGTCGAGAGAGAACAGAAAGAGATAGCGAGAGGGAGAGGAGAAAGAGAAGGAGAAAAGAGAGTAATGGAGAGATGGAGGAGAAAGAGAAGGAGAGGAGAGGAATGGAGAGATGGAGGAGAGCGGAGCCGGCTGAGGAGCGAGCGGGGCTTGGCTGGTGGACACGTTGGTTCCTGGGGTTCAGGGCGCTCCTTCCAGCGCGTCGTTGGTGGGTGGACCTGTACCCCGTTTTTCCGCACGGGGCGCCCACAAGAATCAGGGGCCACGGAGACTTCACGTTCACGCCAGGGCCGGGTGATGTGTCCACTCGTGAACACAAACACCATTCCATGACAACCAGCCGCCGTGGGCCGCTCTGTCACCAGCGCGTGTGACCTGCCACCAACACACGCCCCGTGCGGCCCGCCCCGTTTGGAAAAGCACACCTGCCACCCTGCTATCATTATTATTATTATTAATTATTATCATTATATGTCAGTCCTGGGACTTGAACTCAGGGCCTGGGCGCTGTCCCTGAGCTCTTTCACTCCAGGCTGGCGCTCTACCCCTTGAACCACAGCCCCACTTCTGGTTTTCTGGTGGTTCTTTGGAGATCAGAGTCTCATAGACTTTCCCACCCGGGCTGGCTTTGAACCGCGATCCTCAGATCTCAGCCTTTTGAGCAGCGGGGATGGCAGGCGTGAGCCACGGCGCCGGGCAGCTGCTGTTGTATTAAAAGGTAATTTTTTTCATCTCTCCCATACAACAAAGTTATTAAAATAAGTGAATCAATGAGGAAAGGAAGCAGGCTCTTACCTGCGTTGACCAAGCCCACGTCCACGTACAGTTTGGCACACAGCGAGCCTAAAAGGAATCCGAAGATGGGTCCGATAATTGCAATCCCTTGCACACATCCTACATCAAAAAGAAATACATTGATTAATACAGAAGGGGGAGGGGGAGGAGGGGGGGAGGGGGAAACAACAGAATGGGGAAACAAAGGCAGCTGCCATTCATTTGGTTTGGATAAAGGAACATAGATTTGGGACAAAACCACACCCAAACCGAAGCCCACGTGAGTGAGATCAGCAGCAGCCGCCCTGCCCCGGCCTGCACCTGAGTCCTTTGCTGGGCTTCGTTTCTCTCTGTACTCAACAGATTAATCCAAGAGTTCAACGCGCCCTGAGCCGTCAGGAAATCTGAGTTTCACCCCAAACAGGAAGAACTCTGAGAAAGTTTAGCTCTTTTTTTTTAAAATAAAAGTGTGTTAAACGTTCATATTTTTCATGGAAGTCCAAAGTCTGTCTTGACATTAAAACTGATTTCTAACTCCCAGCTGGCTACACCCCCAAATTCCGTATTTTTGTCAGTGGTGGGATTTGAACTCAGGGCCTGGGCGCTGTCCCTGAGCTCTTTCACTCCAGGCTGGTGCTCTGCCACGTGAGCCACAGCTCCACGTCTGGTTTTCTGGTGGTTTATGGGAGATCAGAGTCTCACGCATGTTCCTGCCCAGCCTGGCCTCCCTGCAGTTCTAGGGCCTTGAACTGTCTGTCTGTCTGTCTGTCTGTCTGTCTCCCTCCCTAAGGTCTATGCCTTCAGAAGATCAGAGAAGCAGACTGGTGTGTGTGTGTGTGTGTGTGTGAGTGAGTGTGTGTGTGTGTGAGTGAGTGTGTGTGTGTGTGAGTGTGTGCGTGAAGCCCAGACCCGGAGTCTTCGCTAGCCTTGAGTTTCACCAGGAAGCTTCCAGTAAATGGCCTTTAGATGTCGCGCACCTTGGCCCCTGGCCTTTCCTGGGTGAGTCTGAGTCTCGCTCCATCCCTTTCGATGGAGGGATACAGAACAGTTGCTAAGGGGTTGGAGAGAACCAGTTTTGAAAGTGATAGCCAAGTGTGGTGGCTCACGTCTGTAACCCCGGCTCCTCAGGAGGCTGAGGTCTAGAGGATCGCGGTTCGAAGCCAGCCTGAGCAGGAAAGTCTGTGAGACTCTGATCTCCAAGGAACCAGCAGAAAACCGGAAGTGGAGCTGTGGCTCAAGTGGTGGAGCGCCCGCCTTGGAGGGTAAACTCCAGGAAGCGTGCACAGCCGTGAGTTCACGCCCAGCCCCCACCCGCCCCGATAGACAACAACAAATCCACACCTGATTTGCCACAGGAGAGAATTTTCTAGACCAAGCAGCTGGGTCCCAGGTGGGAGGGGGGAGTCTTACCGATGTAGAAAGCCACGTCGTCCTCCCCCGAGAAATCGTCCAGGTAGGCGATGCCCAGGGGCTGGATTGGGGTCTCCCCCAGGCCTCGAAGGAGGTTCCCCAGGAACACGTAGGCCCAGGCGGAGGGGCTGCCCTCCCCCGAACACCCTGGAAGGGACAGAAAACAGGGATCAAAGCCAGGCGCCCCGGGACGCAGCGCCAGCAGCAATCCCAGCTGCGAGGAGCTGAGACCTGAGGATCACGGTTCAAAGCCAGCCTGGGCAGGAAAGGCTGTGAGACTCTGATCTCCAATGAACCACTAGAAAACCAGAAGTGGAGCTGTGGTTCAGGTGGTAGAGCGCCAGCCTTGAGCTGAAGAGCTGAGGGACAGCGCCCAGGCCCTGAGTTCAAGACCCAGGACTTACACACACACACACACACACACACAATACACACTAAACTCTTCAGAGATACAATGATTCCAACAAAGTGCCTTGAAAATAAAAGATATTTAATAACTGGTAATCTATTAATCATATCTTATGTCTATTACATATAGTTAAATATATAATTATACCATATATTATATAGTGAATTACTATATAATAGTATATCATTTTATAATAATATGGAGAACTATATTAATATATGGTGTATAATAATATATTATATAAAATATATATTATATATTATGTTATATATAATACATAACATTTTATATATAATGTGTAATATCTATTAGATGTTATTATATATTATATATAATTATATCATATAGAGTATATTACATAGTATATATGTTATATAATTATATATTATATAGGATTATATAATTATATGTTATAATTATATGTTATATAGGATTATAGCATATAAACTATATAAAATATTACATACATTATATTATATCAATTAAGAATATGTATATCTATAACAATAAATCATAATATTGTATAATTATGCAATATAATTATATATAAGCTCTATAATTCTACAATATAATTATATATCTATAATTCTACAATATAATTTTATATGTTACCATATTGTATATTATACATAATTATACACATTACATATGCTATGTAATGTATATTCTAAAAATACCATTGTAGTTAATATTATATAATTATTATAATTATAATTATGATATAATTATAATTATAATATATAATATAATTATAATATATAATAAATAATTATAACTGTAATTATAATATTGTAATATTATTATAATATTGCAATAATATTATATAATTAATGTTATAACAGCATATTACAATGCTACAGTAATCTAATCATGCTTAATTAGTAGGTTTATAGTCAGATTCAAAGCCCATCATATTACGATGCTTTTTTTTTTGCCAGTCCTGGGACTTGAACTCAGGGCCTGGGTGCTGTCCCTGAGCTTTTATTTGCTCAAGGCTGGCGCTCTACCACTTGAGCCACAGCACCACTCCTGGCTTTTTCTGTGTCTGTGGTGCTGAGGATTCGAACCCAGGGCCTCATGCATGCTAGGCGAGCGCTCTACCACTGAGCCACCTGCCCAGCCCTTACGATGCTTTTATGGATGAAGATAGACCTGTGAGCTCAGATCACACACAGAATGCCACTCTGCCTGGTGCAGCGCTGCAGTCCACCAAACCCAGGGAGCCCGCAGGAAGCCCTTTCCCCTCTGCACACGCTGGCTCAGGGTCCCCAGGAGTCTCTCCAGGTTCACCCCGGCTCCCCTCACCAGTTCAGCGGGGCCTCCACTGCATGAGTCATGCCCCCCAGCCTTGCTTTTTGCTGCTTCTTTAGGAGATTTCTAAAAAGAAGCCATCTTACCCTCGGGTGTTTGGGGCTGTGGTGTTGGCAGGGCCGGGGCTGGCGGCTGCCCCCCGGCGTGCAGGACACAGGCAGACACGCTGGGGCTGGCGTTGAGGGAGGGCGACAGCTTTCCGTATTTATACCTGGAAGAGTTGGACCTTGAGTCTCGTCTGTTCTTTTCCTCACACAGATGCCTGGGGCATGATTGATGCTGACTTAGACAGGAAATACACAGGGGCTCAGGTAAGTGTGTGTGTGTGTGGGTGGGTGTGTGTACTGGGCTTGAACTCAGGGCCTGAGCGCTGTCCATCAGCTTGTTTGGCTCCATGGCCCCCTGTGGCTTTTCTGGCCTGTTCATTGGACATAACGACGTCTTAAATTTGTCTGCCTGGGCTGGCTTTGAACCGTGATCCTCAGATCTCAGCCTCCTGAGGAGCTGGGCTGACAGGCGGGAGCCACCGGCATTTGAATACCTGCTTTAAGATATAGAAACGAAGGCCTAGAAATAGAAGCAATGCAGTCCACCAGTTCTGGTTATGATCTTCACCCGTGACCCATTTGAGATCAGGCGTGTGGCAATGAATTGTAAATTATTGATTTTCATAATGGTATTTGGCTCCTGCTTGAGTAAAGCCTTTGAGCCAAAGCACATTAATAAACTATCTCCAGCATTACTGTATCAGTAAGCATTCACGTGACAGGTTAACATATCCATAAAATATTTTAATATGTTTATAAAATATATTGCAACATTGTTTTATTAATACTTTAATAACACGTTACTAGCTATATTTTCTATATCATATTAATATATTGATTAATATTAATACATATTAATATTAATTAACATTAACATTAATTAACATTAATATTAGTATATTAATGAAATTATATTAATTTAATTTAGAATCATTGAGAAGAATTGATATACTAATAAAGCATATTAATAAATTTTCTTTATTACTATAAAAATACAATAAAGTACTATAAACTATTAATTATATCTCCATAAACACATGAATCATATATTAGTAAGTATATCATTTATAGCCTAATATATTAATATGAAGATTATATATTAATATAATATAACTAAATTGTACATTCTATTTACATGCTATATTATGTTCATATATTGTAATATATTACTACGTATTATATTATACATTAAATACTATAACTTATACATGAATATAGTGTGACTAACATCCATATATGAATATATTAAAATAGATGGATATATTAATATGTCATGTAGCATATATGATAAATCCACGTAGCATAATTAATACATGAACATGTTATTAATATATGGCTATATACATACATATAAATATACAATATATAAACATATAACTGCTATGTATTATTATGCTACAATCATACTATACTATAATTAATATGTGTTTAACTATAGCCTATTATTATGTATTTATTAGTATACCAGTCATCTATGTTATATATTCATGCATTTTAATTCATTCGTAGGTCTTCATGGTGTTTGATCTATCACACACATTGATCATGTATTAGTTAATAAAGCGGTTTTCCCTCTGTACAGTTTGCTGATCTGCTCATCCATTGCTGCAGCAGTTACGTTCTCGTAAAGCACATGGGGGACATCCCTGGGGCCCGGGTGACATCTCAGAGTCACCAGACAAGGGTGCTGCTGCTGATCTCTGAGCCACCGGCCACCGCAGCCCTATTTCCCAAACTGACCAACCAAGCAGACTCTTGTCTCTGGGCAGACTCTCCCGGTGCTGTGCATCTTTCCCCCGACTCGGACTGACTCTTGTCTCTGGGCAGACTCTCCCGGTGCTGTGCATCTTCCCCCCGACTTCGGCTGACTCTCACCCCACGCCGTGCCCAGGCCGGGCTTTGAACTCACGGCTCCATGATGAAGTGTGGTAGGGCGATGAGCAGGGTCCCAGCGCCCATGAGCACGCACCCCGCCCCGATGGCCTTGGGTCTGTGCAGTTTGGCTCCAAAGTAGCTCACGAAGATGATAACCAGGAGGTTCCCTTTGGGGAGAGGAGAAAAAAAGCCCAGCCTGAATCTGTGCACAAACCTGCGGACCTGACCTGAGGGCTCCATCTTCCCCCTCTACCCTCTAGCCTGGCTTCTTGTACTAAGTCGTGCTCAGCAGCTGAGAACCAGCGTCGTCTTCCTAGCTGCTTTCTCTCACCAGGCCCTGGCTTTGCCTGGACCTTGACTTTCCACCTGACCTGCAGCCCAGGCCCACCAGGAAGCTAAGAATCCAGAAGTCAAACCTACTGGGCGGTGAGGTCAGAGACGCAGAGCCTTCCTATGCAAAGAGCCGTCATGGACCAACAACATGAGCATCATCTGGAGACCTACTAGACATGCAGATACCAGGCAAACTCTCTAAATGAGAGTCCGTCTCTGGTGGCTGGGAAGGTGGCTTAGTGGTAGAGCACCTGCTTAGCATGCCTCAGACCTTGGGTTGAATCTAGAGAACCCGACACTAATGGCTCACGCCTGCAATCCTAGCTCCTCGGGAGGCTGAGATCTGAGGATCGCGGTTGGAGGTCGGTGAAAGGGATTGAAACCACTCGATTTATTGTTTTCATATTCTAAGAGGGGGGTGTGTGGCCGGCCAGTTGCTAACCGAAGGCACTGAAGAGTAGAACTTGAACCGCGATCCTCAGCTCTCAGCCTCCTGAGCAGCTGGGATGACAGGCGGGAGCCTCCAGTGTTTGGCTCATTTCCAAAATTCGGACCCTAGGACTCATTCTTCAGTTGAATCCTAGTAGGTGAACAAGTAAATGGTGAGCCAGGCTGCCCGTTTTCCATCTCCGAGGAGACCTGGCGCCCCAACATTAAAATAATAACAATCACAATAATAATAACAATATTATTAGGATTCTGAAATACCTACCGATTTCAAAGCTACCGTCAATGAGCCCCACAAGCGAAGAAGAAATATCAAATCTCTTCTCTATCTGAGTGATGGTGCTCTTGAGGTAGCCTTCCCCCAAGGCTTTGGCAAAGTAGACAAAAGACAATGCACCCAGAAACACCTGGAAAACAAGGAACCAGTCTCGTACAGCCTGCCTGCGGCCTAGCCCGGCTGAAGCAACGTCACTCAACAATCACACGCAGGACACAGCAAGCAAGGGAGGGGCCAGCAAGTTGCTGGGGGCTGAAGGGTTGAACTCCAGGACTGGGATCCGCTTAGGTCGATTTCAAGGTCACCGTGAGACATCTTCCAAATAGCAGTGTCATTAGAAATTGGCCACGTGGGGCTGATTTTGAGTCTCCAAAGACTCTTAACGTTGAAAAGGAGTCTTGACTTTGAAGAGCCGCCTATTCTGGGGTGAGAAGTGGAGGATCATCGGTAGGCAAGAAAATTAGACAAAGGAAGCCAGGAGCTGGTAGCTCACGCCTGTCATCTCGACTACTCAGGAGGATGAGATAGGAGGATCGTGGTTCAAAGCCAGCCCAGGCAGGAAAGTCTGTGAGACTCTGATCTCCAATAAACCACCAGAAAACCAGAAGTGGTGCTGTGGTTCAAGTGGTAGAGCACCAGCCTTGAGCTGAAGAGCTGAGGGACAGCGCCCAGGCCCTGAGTTCAAGCAATCCCCCCACGGCTCCACCCAATGCTATGGAGGATTTTACCTTCAGCTCCGCGCAGCAGCGTGGCTGTTTTTCCTTTGGAGATGAATGTCCTGTCTTAAAAGCGGACCCTCCGACGCTCTGCACTGAGCTTTTGCTGAATAACTGGATATTCTCTTTGGCAGAGCCATCCATTTTGAAAGCTCTCCTTGGGTTGGATCTGTCAAAGTTGATGTCAAAAGTTATTGTTGTTTGAAATACAGAATGAAAAAGATGCATTCAATACCACCTAATTCGGGGATATTTTCTTTTCCTTCCTTCCTTCCTTCCTACCTTCCCTCCCTCCCTCCCTTCCTCCCTCCTTCCCTCCCTCCCTCCCTCCTTCCCTGCCTCCCTCTCTCCCTCCCTTCCTTCCTGCCTTCCTTGCTTCCTGCCTTCCTTCCTTCCTTCCTTCCTGCCTTCCTTCTTTCTTTCCTTCTTTCCTTCCTTCCTTCCTGCCTTCCTTCCTTCTTTCCTTCCTTCCTTCCTTCCTTCCTTCCTTCCTTCCTTCCTTCCTTCCTTCCTTCCTTCCTACCTTCTTTCCCTCCCTCCCTCCCTCTCTCCCTTCCTTCCTTCCTGCCTTCCTGCCTGCCTTCCTTCCTTCCTTCCTTCCCTTCTGTCCTTCCTTCCTTCCTTCCTTCCTTCTTTCTTTTTTTCTTTTTTTTTTTTTTTGGTAGTTGGCTCCAATTCCACAGCTCTGATGTGAAATGGAGCTACTACCTCTGATTCCCACTGGGAAGTTGGCAAAAGAAATTCCGTTCAATTAAAAAAACCAAACAGGATGTGATTAAGCCAATCCTGCTCTTTGGGGGAGGGCCTTTCTTCTGCCGCCAACCATCCTGATTGTCCCAGCCCCTCCGCCTGACACCTCCTTACAGCCTTTGGAATACATAACGAGGCCCACGTTGGCTATCTTTGTGGAGTTGCCAGAGTCACTCAGGAGCAGGCTGGAGAGGAAGAAGAGCAAATCCAGCCATTTGAACAGTGAGTGGCTCAGGAGAATGAAGTTTGAATGCACAGCTCCCCAAAGCATCGCGCCATTTGTAGCTATTTATTTAATTAAATATGTGGCAACACCTAGCAGGCTTAAACTGTTGTGGAAAAAAAGTGAAGAGGGTCCAATTTGTGTATCCTTTGGGGATACACAACATATCCTTGATATGTTAAGAGAGAGAATGATTCATGCGTCCAGCTTAGATTGAACTCAGAAGAGTCTGCCCTAAAGAAAGATGGCAGCCTGCCCTTCCCATGTGCAGTTTTCCATTTTCCCTTGTCACGGCCTTTCATCCTGGCCCCAGTACTGACAAAATAGCATGGGGAGGGCCTGTGTCTCTCTGTTCATGTCGCTATGCATCTCTGGGCCCGTGTTTTTAAAGAACCTCACATGGTTCAGTTGCCTGTCTGCTAAAGTCATCTCTGATAAGGAATTCACTCCCTTGATGGTCCCTAGTTGGCATGTCTGTCCACGAATTGAGCTTTCCCCTGGTCCTTCTAATACTAACTAAAGAAAGGACGCTGGCTTAGTTTGTTTTGCTGTTGTTGTTGTTGTGATTTAAGCAGACACGGGTGGCTCACGCCTGTCATCCTCCCTAATCCGGAGGCTGAGATAGGAGGATCCCCATTAGAAGCCAACCAAGACAGAGAGAAAGCCTGTGAGACTCTCCAATGAACCAGCAAAAAGCCAGAAGTGAAGCTGTGGCTCGAGTGGTAGAGCACCAGCCTTGAAGCAAAGAACTACACCTAAGCCCTGAGTTTTCAAGCTCTAGTACTGGCAGACACAAAAATAGTGTGTTAAGACACAGACTATTTGAGTTCGTTCATAAATATACATAGCTCCTATTATTTTTTTTAAAAAAGGAAAAGTGAAAAACAATAACCCAAATGAACCCTTTTTCAAAGCAAAGAAAAAACAACAACAAACCCCAAAACTCAACAAAACCAGAAGCTGATTCTAACAAACAAACTCTGAAGATAAAAGACACAAGTTTGCATGTTAATGAGATCCAAGTAGCAGTTTCAAGGATTATAAAACAAATAGCTTGCAGATATAAATAGACATAGCTGTAGAATCATGACAAAATGGGCCACTTTCTTCCAATACATATTAATTATCTCTCTTGACACAAACCACAAGAGAAAAATAGCCAAGGAAGATTTCTTTTTAAATCCCTTAAAATTATATCCTAAACAAAGATAATAAGAATAGATGAAGTGGGCTGGGCAGGTGGCTCAGTGGTAGAGCGCTTGCCTTGCATGCATGAGGCCCTGGGTTCGATTCCTCAGCACCCCATAAGCAGAAAAAGCCAGAAGTGGCGCTGTGGCTCAAGTGGTAGAGCGCCAGCCTTGAGCTGAAGATCTGAGGGACAGCGCCCAGGCCCTGAGTTCAAGACCCACGACTGACAGTAAAAAACAATCAGCCAATCTAAATTCATTCATTATATTTCCTAATTAGGATCACTTCTTACAACGTCGTATCTGACGGATACAATGAATTTCATTTACCTCAACGCCCACAGAAAACATGCACATTTAAGCTAATAAAATTTCAGCAGATGCGAATTGCAAGAAACCACAAACCCATTCCTCATTCTAGAAGGAGGAAGAAAGGACACCAGTAAATTCTAGGAAGTGAAGAATCTCTTCACCATCTCGGATGCCGGTTTCCTAAATTTGCTACCTCAGTAGGAAGACTTTTCTAAGAGCCGTGATTTGCCAGGGTCACGGAGGGGTCTTCCTGACACAGCCCAAGGGGTTTCTTTGCCAGGAAAGTTCTAGAAGGGCACCTGGCTGCTTATTTATTTTCCTGAGACAAAACTTGATTACCGAATTGAATTTGACTTAATCTACCTCCCCCTAGTAAAAATAAATAATAACAATAATCTGTGCTATCGTTGGAGCCAAATCTGTCTTTGAAAGACTCAAAGGACTGGGGACTTGGTGCCTGCTTAGAAATCGCAAAGCTCTGAGTTCAAACTTCCCCCCAAATGAAGAAACAGAAAGACATCAAGACCGCTGATAGAGATAGACAGACAGACAGATAGGTAGAAAGATAGACAGACAGATAGGTAGAAAGATAGACAGACAGATAGGTAGAAAGATGATTGATAGATAGATAGATAGAGATGATAGACAGACAGATAGACAGACAGACAGACAGACAAAAGATAGATAGATAGATAGATAGATAGATAGATAGATAGATAGATAGATAGATAGATAGATAGATGGATGGATGGATGGACTGACGGACAGAAGGATGGATGGATGGATGGATGGATGGATGGATGGATGGATGGATGGATGGGCAGATGGACAGACAGAGGGACAGACAGACAGACAAAAAGAGATGGATAGACAGACAGACAGACACACAGACAGGGGGACAGGCAGACAGAGGGACAGACAGATCTATAGATAGACAGGACCCAAAGAGCTAACTGCAGCATGCTACTGTTAGAGAGGGAAAATCAATCTTCGTGTTGATGTGTGAGCTTGTGGGGAAGGCAGGAAGGAACTGCAGTTCGTATTTGAGTATCTGGGACATGAACGTTCATTGTCTTCTTATATTTGCTGGTACCGGAGGCAGAGAAACAAAATCCATCCTCAGTGGACTCCAGAAATCAAGCACCAAAAAGAGAATTCTATTTATCTCAGCTGCTGTCAGGCTCGGGCAAATGATCGCACCTGGGCTTCGAAAGCTGGCACCGAACCACTCAGCCAAAAGTGTAATTCATGCCCACAGCTCCTCCGCTCCCAGAAGCCCGGGGAGGGAACAGAGACCAGCTCTGGACCATGAACGGCCACCAGCACGCATGCCTTCTGTCCTTAGCCTTTGTGCAAACAGAGTGAGGGCAGACCCTCTTTAAAAAGGAAGAAGAAGAAGAAGGAAAGGAGGAGGAGGAGGAGGAGGAAGAGGAGAAAGAGGAAGAGGAGGAAGAAGAGGAGAAGGAGGAAGAGGAGAAGGAGGGAGAGGAGGAGGAGGAGAGGAGGAGGAGGAGGAGGAAGAGGA